GGACCCGTTCCAACAGTTCCATGTCCTTCTTGTGCTGAGGGCTCCTCCTTCTTGGTACCTCTTTAAGCAGGAGAGCTTTGGAGATGTTTGAAGTGCCTGTGGGAGCTGAGATGTGTGTCTCGGGTGTTTAGCACCCATCTGCATCAGAAATAATAACCTTTCCTTGCAGCACGTCCCTGCTACTCTATGGGGTAGTATCAGATCCTGCAATAAGAGCTGATGCTTTAAATAAAGGACGGGTGGCATGTTACATGAGGGATTGCTTCCACGCTGCTTAGCTGGTGGTGGCTCTTAGCATCGGTGTTGCCCTTCTGCTTCAGGGGTTTGCTGACTTGACTCTTGGGCTCTGTCCCTGATCCGTCGCTTTTAAATTCTTTAATTAAAAAGATTAAAGAGAGAAGAAGCAGCAGGTGGAGAATCCTCATTTATGTGATTTGGGAGTGTGTTGCTGCTGCTTTGCTCTCTGTTCAGATGACTCCCCACAGCCCATAAATGAACCCATTCTCCAAATGTGACTTTTAATAAGTAGTCCTTTCTCAGCAGCCTGGTCACCTCCAGGTTAAGCGTTGTACAAAATGCAGCTCGAATGCTTTCTAGAAGAACATCAATTAACAGGCAAGGTTGGGTTAGACTTCTGAGTGTCCTTGTCCCCTTGCAAACCACTGTGGAGCAAAGCAAAGGTCAGCCAGTTTGATACCAGCGCTGGTCCTCCCCGTTGGTACAGGAGATGGCAGTCTGACCATGGGAATTTCTCTTGCAGCCACAGGACTCCTGGGAGGAGTGGTGCAGCCCGGCTCTCCGGTGGGAGGCAGAGAAGGGATGGACAATGACCAGGTTCAGCTGCAGGAGCAAGAGAAGATCTCCCAGGAAGAAGCAAAAGAGCTTAAACAGGTAGAAATTGAGAAAACTTTTGATAAGAGTTGTTCCACTCCCTCTTCTTCCTTAATAACGTGCATTTTCATCATCAGAGACAGAGGCATTGTCCATACCAAAATACTCCTCTCCCTAAATTTAGATGGGTGTATTTGAAAAATTAGTCAAGCCTGTGATTAAAATACACTGATAGCTTTATATTTGTTTTTAACTATTTTGAACAAATCAAGGATTATCAGCAAAATACATTAAACGATAAGGATTATAACCCAAGAAAAATCCTTAACCATAACCTGTTTTTTCGGAAGATTAAGAAGCTTAACAATTAAATAATTTTCAGCCTTTTTATGTTTTCCCTATGCTATCTTATTTTAGTAGGGAGTAACAGTTCTATTTCAGAAACATCCACAGAGCTGAACCAAGTGTTTTATAAACACACAGAGGGAACTTGTAGTTAGGAAAGAAGTATGTAGCCCAGAAAATTAATACAGGGGAAGTAGGTTGGAGATTTTACTAGAAAAAAAATATTTATTTCAAGTAATCCCTTCTGATATTGTTCCTCTAAATGGCTCTTTAATGAATTTCTCTCATGATGTTCAAAACTTCTAGTGAAGAATCCCTCTTTGTAGTATGTGGTTGATCCGAAACAGTGAACTAACTGGAAAAGCAAAGGAGTGTGGTTTTAGTGGTTTTTCCATTAAAACAGGTTTACTGGTGATGATCACAGCCACATCAGAAGATGTGGTTGAAGATTAAGCTATATTCTTGATATTTTTTTTTTCCCCTCTAGCATCTTACTCCCTTTACTATTCCGTCTGTAGCTTGGTGATAGCATCATGTGAATTTTCTGCCAATTCTCTTGCCTCTTAGCCAAACCTGCTGTTTTCTAGCCCCCTTATTTTATTTTATAGTTGAGAAGTAGAATACGGCAACTTCTGCTAGCTTGGGTGCATTTGAGAGTCACAAGCTCTTAGCAGTGACTTGAGTGGCTAAAAATGGAAACTTCTTTCAGGAAAAAATCCATTTATTAAAATTAAGCAAAAGACACTTGGGTAAGTGAGAGTTTAACCTTTTGCAGAAGGTTAATTTCAGAGATTTCTTAAATTCCCTGTTCTGGATGGTGAACTAGAAACAGTGTTAAATGGCCAGTGTTATTTAAAGCAAAGCAAAACACTTTCAAGATTAACCAGAGCTCAAAAGACAATTCTGGTATTTATTTATACCACACCAAGCCAAGAATTTTTAAGCCAGTTAATGGTTTGGGGCGAGCGGGTGGGGTGGGGTGGGTGGGG